CTCACTTCTAATGTATCAAAAAGAATGTCCAATGTTTTTATAGCATTAGTTATATCAATATCATTAAGGGTTGTCAACAACTTAAGATTTGGAAATAAATCAAAAGTGTGTGTTTTAATATCATTTTTCATTTTATAAATTTTATTTTTAAATTGTTTTATCTTGTGAATTGATCGAAAGAACACGGCATTTTTTTCTGAAGTTCTTGGTTTAAATTTTCCAATTGTCCCAAAGTGTCTAAGAAAAATGCTATATTTAGTTTTAAATGAACACTGCAAAATTGTTCGTTCATCTCTTTCACTGTCATTTCACCATATTTCATTTTTTTAATTCAAAATTCATTAAATAATTCTGAATTTTGTCGTAATTTTTTAATACCCATTTGAACAATACCGCCATTGATAACCACCTTGTTGTACAATAAGTTGGAGGTGTACATTTGTAAAGTTCTCTAAACTTTGAGCTTTTGAGAAAAAAACTGACATTGGATAGCAAATAAACAGTGCATGACGCACTTTTGGATTCCAAACATTCTGCAACACAGAGATTTAATAAGTGGCATTTGCACCATATTGGGAAGATACACATTGTTCTTCCAGGAAGTTCAGAAAATTCGTTAGATAATATCCCACTCATGCCACCCTCACTTTGCTCATTGGGAGCACCATCAGTTCCCCAACTAGTTATTTTTAATGTATCTATTTTGTGTTGTTCCAATACCTCTTTTGTTTTTTTCGACAACAAAACACCAGTAGCTTTTCTATTATAAACATTGATTTCCAACATTCTGACTATGATATCCATATTGGGCATCACCATTCGAATGTAATATGAATACCAAGATTTTGAAGCAACCACAGATTCATCAACGAGAACAGACAAATGTGTTGCTATTCTTGCCAATTTAGATTCACTTTTTCTTATTTTTGTCAATATTTCAATTCCACACTTTTCTATAGATTCCTCGATTATTTCGATTATTTCTGCTATAACTTTGTGTTTACTAAGTATGTTGTTTGCTGCCAAAATAACAGCAAGATTTGTTGTTGGTAATCTACCTTCTTCTATCAAATTCGCTTCTTTGATTTTCACTTTTGATTTGTTGCTAACTTTTTCATCACATAATTTATTGTTTTTAATTTGTTGTAAATGTTCTTCTGCTCTGAAACTGTTCACCAGCAATTCACATGTTTTTTTGTCTTCAAGAATTTCACAATGACAATCTTTGTGGTGGTGTGAACATTGTGCTTTGTGAATGTTTTTTCCACAAATGATACATACAAATTCACGTTTCTTTATATCTATAACTTCATCATTCTTTCTTTGATCCAATCTATTCGTGGTTTTGGTTTATCCATATTTTTCAATTTATTGTATTTATTGATTTCAAGATCATTTATCTTTTAAAAACAAGTTATTAATTAATAAATTATTAAAATGGATATATAAATAAATAAAATTTTAATTTAGAATTATATATTCAAAATGTTTTTTGTTAACTACATTATTGAAAGGTAAATTTTAAATGATTTTGTTTTTTCTTCAAATTGTGAGGCATTTTTCTATTTTATTTATTTTTATTTTTATTATTATTTTATTATTTAAAGATAACCTATGGCATCTATTTAAAAATTTAAGGACTCTGGTGTATGCCACTTTTGATTGGTCAAAACCACACACCAATAGAATTTTTACTGTAAATAACAATCAATAACAATTAATTCATCTAAAATTTTTAGATTTTTTTATTGTTACGGCAATTTTTTTAGTTGTAAATGATTTTTGAATCTTTTATTTTAAAAACTTTTTTGATATTTTTTTATATTAAATAGTTCAAATTAATATAATAAAATAAAATTGATATAATTCAATTCAATCTACTGCCTATTGTTTAGTTTTATAACGAACCATGAATGACTGTATTTTGCTCTCGAACCTTAAATTTAAGTCCACTTATATTAATAATATAGTTTTATTATAATTAAAAAACTACTATATTTTCTATAACACTGTTTTTATGTAAACAATTGTAAATAGAATTTACTACACTATTCCATGATAAACCCACAAATATACATTTTTCTCTGTTTAACACGTTTCCTTGTTTCACTGTTATTTTTTTATTAGACAGTGTTATTTTTTTTCTTTTTTTTTGCCGTTTGATCTTTTAAAAAAGACTGTCATGCCTGTTTTATTTTTTCTTAACATTATTCTGCACAAGGATATTACTCAAACCAACTAGCAAATAAGAACTAGTTTAAATAAGATATTATATCGAAGATATAATTTTTATATTTTTTCGGGATTTACTCAATAGAAACATCAGAAATCCCGAAACAGATATTTTCAAGCCGATAAAATTTTTAGTATTAGGCGATGTACTTGGAGTTTCCAAAACAGATTCACAATCAAGTACATTTCAACCACCTTGAATGTCATTGTTATTGAATATATAATTTAATATATACATTACATATAACAAACATGTTCACTTATTGTTGTAATACATTCTATAACACAGTTTGTTGTAATTCAATTTTTTAAAAAGATAATAGTTTGTTGACTTGTCTGTTTGCATTTTTTTCAATTCTCCGTAATACGTTCCGTTGTTTTAATCCAACTTATTGGTGTGATTGTTTTCAACTTTTTTACTAAAAATCCATCTTAAATACAGTAAAAGGTGTTTATTTGTGGGTTTTTAAACAGAGAAAAAACGTATATTTGTGGGTTTACCATGGAATTGTCTAGTAAATTCTATTCACCATTTTTTCCATAAAAAAACAGTGTTATAGAAAATATAGTAGTTTTTTTAATTATAATAATACTATAATTTGTATTTAAGTGTACCTAAATTCAAGGTTCGAGAGCAAAATAATTATTTGTGGGTTTTGCATTGGATTGGTCCATTGACCCACAAATAGACGTAACCCACAAATATAAAAACCCACAAAAAGACACTTTTCACTGTATAATTTGATTATTTTTAAGATGTGAACAAAAAATCTGATATGTAAAAAATAATTTTGAAAAATAAAACAAACTATATAGTCCATAAAAATAATTATATTTTATGTTTCAAAAAATAAACTAATTATTAATTAGTGATAAAAAATAGCGGAAAAACAATATCAATTACACCCAGAATTCAATTATGCGTTTCCAATTGAATTTGTTATTGGATTGCATGGCTCGGAGCAGTCTTCTCCTTCAACCATCTCTTCGCCTTCAAGACTCTCTATTCCCAATACGTCATGTGGAGAACAGTCCATTGAGTTTCCTGGCTCAAAGGAAGCTCTCCCATGACTCAAGTAAGTCATCAGGTCTTTCATACTAGAGATTGTGACATCCCTAATTATTTTAGGTAGCAGCCCTTTTTTTGAAGCATATGTATGCTTCTTGCAGTCCAACTGGTTCTTTTCAAGTTGCTTCTCAACTAGATTAATGTCAAGTTGTGTCTCTATCTTGTGCTTCAGAATAGAAGTGAACACTTTTGTGACAACATTAAGACAAGTGATGGGGCGGTAGTTGGCTGGATTTGTAGTATCACCACCCTTATGAATCAGTACCGTCCTCCCCGTGAACATGTTTTGGGGTATCTCTTCTGGATACTTGTACCACTTCTGGTATATTCGCAACAATGAATCATGCAAACAAGTACAATGTTTGATGTAGTACCCAGATATCTTGTCTAGTCCAGGAGCCTTCCAGTTAGCAACGCATTTAACAGCCAGCAACATTTCATCTTTTGTTATCTGTTGGAGGTGATAATTCTTCTCTTCACAATCCCAAATCTCTTTGGTGTAGACATTGGTCTTGTCTACCTCCTTGACAACTTCAAAGAGATCGTGCCACAATTCCATCGTTTGTTCAGTTGATGGAAAAGTACTAGATTGTTCGCCTCTTACAATACTCCGTTTGTTGAACACCATCCACTTCAAGTTTAGCCTTATTCTACTTAGGTTCTTTTTTTTAAACTCCATTTCCAACAAGTGGGAATTTCGCAGATACCGGAAGTAGACAATTGTGTCACTTGTCTTTTGGAGGACTTCCTCATCACTGCTCCTTTTCAAGTTAAGCAAATTTCGAAGCTTTGTGATGTTTCTGCATTTAAGAAGATCTGTGTATTTGTTGATGATAGCCAAAAAAATTTGTGTCTCTGCTAACAGTGTTGAGAACACTGGTTTTAGTTTGAAGGAATTGTTTTAAGGCGTATGACACATCATTGATATGATTCTGATAATCTCCAATTGTGTGGATATCAGGTTTGAAATAGTTATTCAAATACTCAATCAACTTTTTGATGAGGTTGCTGTTACTGTAATAGTTTACATACGCAGTCCCTTCATGCTTCTTCTCGAGTTCTTCCTTAATGATTCCAACAAACTTGTCAAGTTCAATTTCGACATTGTTGTGTTTGTTGATCAAAACATCGAATTTAAGAGCCTTAGACTTTTCTTTGTCAGTCACTACTTTTTTCATGTACTCATTAGCATCATGCTTCTGTTTGTTGGTGATACAATGACATTCTCGGACAAGTTTTTTCAGTCTTCCGGGACTGGATACATCGACACCCAGGTTGTGAAGTATCCCTAAACATTCATCTTCGGAGAGTTTTGTTTTAAACATTTTTTCGAATTTTGAAAGTGCATAAATAGTCATTCTTAGTTTGACAGTTTTACTCGGTATGTGTGGTTGAATTCTATTTTCTTCAGACTGGCCCCGGTCTGTGGCTGTATTGGCTGTTGAAGTATTGTCACCAGGGCATCCGATGGTTCTTCGACAATTGGAGTTGTCCTCAGATTCATCGGCGAGTATTGAGGATATTCTAAGATGATCTTCTGAACCGTCCCTGCCACTACATTGATCCCGGTCACAAGTTGACCGGTCAATGTCGAGTTTTTTTGTACTTCTGCCCCTATATTATTTATAACTTGCTCATGGTTCGCAACAATAGTTGTCATATTTCGATCTAAAATAGCGATACTTTGATTTGTGTTTTGTTATAAACTGCCCAACTGTCCAATCTTTTCATTTAGGAGTTGTTGGTTGGCATAGAGTTGACTTGTTGTCTGGTTAAGAGTTTCACTGATTTTGTTAGTGTTCTCTTTATCCACCATGTCAAGTTTTACTGAAACACTCTGAACAGAAACCGTGAATGAATCATTACTTTTCTTTTGATCATTCAATGTTGTGTTAACATTTTGTATTTTTTGAATCATTTCATCTTTGAGCTGGTTGATGTTCTTCTCAACTTTCTCTAATGAGTCATCCAAAGTGAGATCAAGATGATCTACAGCATTCTGGAATTTGGTGGCTGCTCTATCAATGTTGTTTTCAGAATCTGTTCTGGCTTGAGTGATATCATTCCTAAGTGGAGTGATTGCCGTTGTGGCGATTCCTTTGATATGATTCACAAGAGCTTCTGATCTCAGCACTTTCTGAGTTAATTCTTTGGAACTTAATGCTGGTGTGTTCTTTGCATTTGAGTGCTTGTTGACCTTCTCTTCAATCTCGGCTTGTTTCTTCTTGATGGTAAGGAGTGTGCTCTCGAAGTTGCTGATCCTTTCCATGATTGTAGGAAGCAAAGCGAGCTGTTTCTGTATTTCTTCGAGGATTGATTTCTGAGATGCGAGTTCAGTGGTGTCATTAATTGTGATGACATTTGTTGTGTTCTCTTCAAGTGATTGTGAAGTTGAGTTCATTTCCTGAGGGGCTACTCTCCGTTGTTCTATGTGTTGTCTTGGCTATCTTCTTCTTAATGGCTGTTGGTCTTTTCTTTTTGGCTGCTGTCGCTTGCCCTTTTACTCTTCTTGGGTTC